TATTCTTTGAAGTCTTTATTGATACAAGGGCAGGAAGGGCTTAGTCATCAGATAAGTATACAATTTCTTGAGAAAAATGCTAGCATTATTTTTGTCAGGCTTTGGTCCAGATAGTAATTAGGTTTTGCTGTTAGACTAGTTAACTAACCAAATTATACATTTGACAGATTTAAATAAAATTCTTTTGTTGGGGGTTTATCACCAATGTGTAACCATTTTTTTCTAGACTTGTATAACTACATTTTGTGTTATCTAACTAATTAGATTGTGGAACATCATCTACTATTGAGTTTAAATGGTCTGTTTAAATATAAATTTGATTTTGATTTGATTGATCATTATAATTCTTTTTACTTGAGTTAGTGGGTTATTATTGGTAGGTGAGCTTACATAACAAGTTTTCCTGATTTTAGTTTTATGAAGTCCTTCAGGAACATGTATTAAAATGCACTGACTCAAGTGTCTCTAAGCAGTGAGAGGTCAGAACCACTAAGGATGTGGGTAGAAAAAGGCCAATAAATTCCAAAACTTGAACAGTTTCTCCTAACTAGCCTTTATTTATTGCCAGCTTTTGTTTTATTTTAGTTCAGCCTCTTTTGAGGCTCCCCACAAAATACACATACCACTCTGAGGGCAGCAGCCAGTACTAAAGTGCTTATGTGAGCGTATATGTTTGTACACAGATCTCTTCACAGCTGGCTCTCTGTTGGCTTAGATACTACGAAGTGTTGTAACTTATCCTGAGGGTGGCTTAGCTTGTACATCTGAAAATGGACCCACAATGGAGAGTTTTTATTAGCAAATCTTTACTAGAAGTATTTGGGCAGTCTGCCCAAACCCTGCCTTTTCTGGCCAAACTGCATGCTGCCTGGAACTGCATCATGTGAAGCATGGGAAGACGTGGTTTTGTGTGAAAATGTACCTTTAAACACAGAAAGATCACTGCCACTTATAGCGTAACTCCCACAAGTAATGCTCCTGTCCCATATTTCCGAAGCTAACCTGCATCCTCTCTCCTTTCCTCCTCAAATGAACTTGTACAGTCAGACCCTTTCTGCCCAACCATAGTTTGATTTCTCAGCAGAAATTGTGTACTTTCTTCTCCTGTGCTTTCCACGTTTGGAGAAAGACCACCCACTCTCTCCAGGAGCAGGGGACGGCCCACTCCCCACATCTCCTGAGAATTGTTGCCATGCTGCATGACTGCTGCAGAATTACATCCACAGGGCATTAGATTAGCACTACTGTTGGAAATGCTGGAAGGCAGCCTTATGTGTAGCCAGATGATACTGAAGTACTTTCTCTTGAAAACTATTTTTGAGAGCTCCTTTAGTATACCCAGGGGAATAACACTAGCCAAGGAGACAGGAAGGTCAGTTCAACTGGATGATGCAGTCACTCAAGATCATTATCTGTGTTATTGCTGTCTCTATCCTTCCCACCCCAAACTAGGTGCCTACTGGGTGTAGGCTGGACTCACATCCTTCACGCTCCATCATTTCAAAGAAGTTCATGTCAGTCAGTGGAAATCAGACTTTGTCTCCTTTGCTCTGGTAGCAGGCTTAAATGCTTCACTATTCATTCCCCTCAGAGCAAGCACAAATAGCTCAGGCTTCAGAGTCATTCCCATAGATTCCCAAGGATATTTGCATAATTCTACCCATCAGCAAGAGGAAACAATACATCTTGTTTTTTTCCAAACAGTGTCTTTTTCTAGTTTAAATAAAACTGGAAAGATGAACTAATTTAATATTGTCATCTAATGATACTTCTGTGAGCTAGTGGTGCTCTTTCATGGGGGAGCTATCTGATTTTTCGCTCATAAAGTAAATAAAATTAGGCTCAGTTTTAGGAGTTTTTGAAGAAGGAAGTTCTTGAATATCTCTGATTTTAAAAATTATGCAGCTTTGCAATACTGCATTCCTGACCCCAAATCATCCTACCCCTCTATGATCAGTTAGTAATTTCTAATGCCTCTCTTAAAGGTTTTTTTTTTATACTTTGATATTTCTCAAACCTCAAGCTGATACCATTGCTGACCTTAAAGGTCACTGTTAAAAGAAGAACCTGTCATTCTCAACTATGATTTGCTGTGACATTAGCCCCAGAAATGCAAATTTTCTTCCATTTGGCATCAAATGAACTTACAGAACATTCGTATGCTATATATGAAGCACCATGCTTTAACCCCCCCCAAAATGCTATGAAATTGCATCCTGTCTTAAAGTTTGCAAAAAAAAAAAAAAAAGCCAAAAACCCTAAGCAAGTAGTCTGTGTCACTGCATCAAAGGTTTATCACATTCAGTGTCAGCATTTGCACTCTCCTGGGACTCGGTCTTTTAAGATGCTCATATAAAATGGTGGTAGAATTTATATCCATTGTCATATATCCATTGTACCTTGGCCCCTGAAAGTTGTTCTTTATAGCTGATATCCTGCCTTGCTGATTTTGAAGCTAGAACACAACATGACAGCTTGCCTCCCATCATTCACTGCAGCTGTAAGTCATGTTCTTTGCTTTACTGCAACTTGGATTATAGGGTACTTAAACCAGAGAACACACAAGAGGTTTAGCTCTTTTCCAAAGTAATCAATGGCCTCAGAGGGAACGTACACCATATTGAGCTATTCAGTTTATCTCCTGCATGCATGACTCAGTGTTAAAAGCCCAAATTGCTACTTTTGCTATTGTTAGCTTTCAAGTCTGAAGCTGATTGTAGTTCTAACAATGAAAAATTACTTTCAGGTGAGGATACTGTATTGCCAGCTAGAGCAGTTGTAAAATAAACAGTGCTAAAGGCATACGTGGTCAGTGAAACTCCATCACCTGCAGCTGAAGTTGTTTGAGCAGTCCCTGGAATCAATCCAATTGTTGTCTCAGCCCAATTAACATCTTCCTATGAAATTTTCAGGCAAAGTGTGGGAGTTAGCATGGACCCCAAATTATTCCCAATAGACAGTTCTCATTCAGCTGTCCTATTTTTGGGTGAAGTATGTTTAACAGTATAGGCACAGCCTATCCAGTTGATCTCAATGCTAGAAGCATGTTTAAGTTATTTGTTTAACTTTGGTTATATGCCAGTTTCTGGACTGATGCTGGGTTCAGAGATCAAAGACTTACTTGAATTTCTTTTGTGCTTGTTGAAATGAAACAATCTATTCTAGTGATTGACAGTGAAGGAACTTTATGCTTCGTTTGGACTGTGATTTATCAGAGCTAGAGTCTTGCTTTCCAAAATGCTCTTTGAACATCATTTTTACTGTGTATCAAATAGGGTTCTGTGTCAGATTAAAGCTGGGATGTCACACGTCTATTTTAGAAAGAAAATTTCATACTTTCATGAACACAGCAAATGTCAGAAACTTTCCTTTGCCATGAAAATTGCACATAAAATAGTTTCAGAAGATCACAGTGAAATCAGCATGTTATTCACTTGTCGTAAGTTTTCTGGTTTCCTGAGTAGGGTGACACCATAGTAATGAAGTTTCGGGGAATGGTTTGTTTGTTTGTTTGTTTTTCACGCAAATAGTCTGAAAAACAAACTCATGAGCAAAATCAGAAGTGTGCTTTTGATGACGTCAGAGAAGAAGCTATACAGTATATATGCTGCTATAGTAAGTGTAACAGTGGTCAATGTTGGAAATACCATATCTTTAGAAGGGTAGCGTCAGTGAGGGTTTCAGAAATTGCACATGTGGATACTATGGAGCACATCCATGTCCCTCCAGCTGCTCATCTGCTGAAGAAGATATGTTGTCATTGGTCTTTTCCTGTCTCTGAAAGGGTTGCAATCTGTAAGCACAGTTGCTGTGACTGGCAGCAGAAATGGCTTGTCACAGAGGCCCTTGGTGCCTGTTAATGGGTCACTCCAATACGCCTCCTGCACCTGGCTATTGATAGTGTTTTGGCATAGGGGACAGCATGCAAGGGAAATGCAAGTCAGGGTTTCCTGGAAAAATAAGGAAGATATGGTCATATGTGTAGAGGAAGCAAATATGGCAAACACAGAGGTTGGATAAATGCCAAGGAATTCTAATTGCCTTTTTTATTTTTTTTTTAGGTGTATCTTTGATGGGAAATTTCTGTGTACCTGGAATTATAATGTGCATGTGTGTGTGTATAATATATACATATATACACACACAATATAGCACCAGAAGAAAATTTCCTATTGTTTATTTAGTATCAGTAAAATTCATAACATCAGACTTTCTTAGAATTATCAAATTATTAAATAATGATAGAGTGGAAATGTAAAAGGTTTGCAAAGAAGGTGAAATGTTACCGTTCCTGGCTGAAAAAAACCATTCCCATATAATTTGAAATAGTTGTCTGTAGTAGGTGTAAATAAAACTGCATGTTAAGAAAAAAAATCTTGTCTCATAAGAATCTATTTTCTGTCAAAGTATTACAGTTTCCTTTTTTATATACTTTTCCTGCTCAGGTGCTGATGATATTTCCTTGGCATGGCAGGAAGCACTATGTAGTTATTTAGAGAGTTATTTTGTCTTTGTTTCTTTTGAGAAGTCTTTTTATTATGTGTCTGATGTGTGGACTCTTTGGAGACTATAGTTACAATTTTTCAAGTTTTGAACCATATTTTTTTTTCTTTCATTTCCCTCACACTGTTCTAGTGTATTGGACCTCTTGGTTTTTTAGCCTCTTGTTCCTGCAGAGAAGCTCAAAGCATTTGGAGACTTCCTTAGCTCTGCTGGCTACTCCGAGCACTTACAGCTCTCATGATATGCCCATGTAAATTTGTCATATGCATGCATTTACGTGTGACAGCACAGTAACGGTTGTCATACAACACTATCTACCTGTAAATAAAACAAACAAACAAAAAATTATTTTTGTAAACACCCATGAACTATTATTTTTGATGTTTACATCACCTTCCAGGATCATACTGTATCAGCAATTAATCTCTGCTTCCTAATTGCATGTAAACATAGATTTTTAGTTAATACAAACCTTTATGTATGGATGATATTTTCAGGAAGTGGTGCAGGCAAGAAGGCTTAGCAGAGGACAGCTATTTGGAAGAATGACAATGCGTGCTTAATGTGTCTCTTCTGAAAGAGACAAACTAAGCTCAGATCTAATTTTCAAGAATCATGTGAAGGTAAGCAAAAAAGGTTCCAACAAGTGTTTTCCTTATGGCGTACAGTGAGACAATAATACATCTTCCTCACACTTATAAAAATAAAGAAACAAGGAATCCCCAAATGACCCTAGTGAAATTATGGTAGATCCCATCCATAGGTTGCTTTACTCTTCTTCTACCATAAGCATCTCTATGATGCCTGGTTTCATTGATATAATTTAATTCCTAATTTGACTCACAATAAACAGGGAGATAATGATCTGTTTATTCATTTCTGTGCTTTCAAGAGGGAGAAGTTTATAGCATTGACCTTCCAGTTGCAGTCCCTCAGTTTGCTCCACGTGTCTATAATGTGTGTGCATTATTCAATGTCTGCCTGACAGATATGAAATAGAGTCATTATTGAGACTGAAGTCATTGTGAGGTGGCAGCTGGACTCAGGTAGGATGCCCTTCAGCATCCAGTACCAGACCACAATTTGTGAGCAGAGGAATGAAGCTGTAAATCTCTATGGCTATCATGGGAATGTAGCAGCCCACCTTCCTGGTAGATACCTACTTGTGAACTTCTACACTTAAGTCTGTTCATTTGGGTCTGAACATACACTTTTTTCCTTCTTGAATCCAGTTTTGAAAGGAAATAATTAAAATCTAACTGGTAAAATAAAAGTGCATTAACCATAAGAATGTGATATCTCTTCCAGGAGTATAAAACTGTGCAATGAATCTGCAGTGTATTTTACTTAGAGTGAGATTAACAGAACATAATCCACAAACTGTGCAACCTCTAGTAGCCCAGATTGCAGACCGATACCATTTTGTTGGGAAAATTGGGAAACATCTTGAAAAGGATTGCAATTCCCAAGCTCCTGTATTTGGATATGGAGGAGAATTTTTCTCATGTGTCTCTTTTGCTTTCGTCTGCCTGCCTCAAGTCCCGTTGATCTGCTCTGAAAAACAAAGAAAACAACTCAGTAACAACCTTTGTACTTTTGTACTTACCTCTCATCACACTGCATAAGAAGAGTGGAGAAGATAAATTACTATGTTCCTCACTTACTGTTAGTGACTTTTTTTTTTGATGAATCAAAACCTAAAAATAATAACAACATATATTATCTTTTTAAACTAGGATCTCAACAGAGATTTTAATGACTGAAAGGAGTAAGGAGTGGAGGAAAAGGCAGTGGTTTACTGCAACTTGCATTATCAGCTGAGAAAATTTCAAGAAACTGCAGTTCTTCATCAGATAGACTGTTCAGCCTCTAATTGAACAGCAGGGGGAAATATTTTTTGTGTACTTTTTGCTTTGAGGTCAAATTTTTCTCTTCCTTCTTTCCTCTTCCTTTTTTTTTTCTTACCCAAGTAGAAGATGGACTCAGGAGAAAATCATTCTGTTAGAAGGAATTATTTTTGCAAATTCCTTGAATAAAGTATAGAGAATAAAAGCACAGACATTAAATGCTTTTTTATAAGTAAGATTTTGGAGTTGTTTTATAGCTGCTATGTTTTTGTATTAATTCTGGTTTAGAACTGAAGAGTACAGAATCAAAATTGTGACTATTATCTACCACTCCTTGGAAATTTATCTCCTACGGATTTTGTTTTTTCCTTTTGAGTTCTGAATTTTAATTTATACATTAGTAAGTGCTGCTTAGAAAAGCATTTTATGTGAATGTTTTTCTAATAGCATATGAGATTGAATCAAAATCTTCGTAGGGAAGCTCACCGCTGAACTGTGCAAAATAAGTCTTCCCACAGATAAATAGGGAATTTGAGCACTAGGAAGATGTAAATGCTAATAACTATTCAGATTCTATCATATTCTTTCTGCCCAGCCTAAAGAAACAGGTAGGAAGGGCTGTATTTAGTTGTCTACACACAACCCTTAAATGACACATGGCTTCTGTAGGATGTCAGAGACATTTTCATGGAGGTACCAAATGTGCACAGACCTCGTGAATGACCTGAGACATGCTGGAGTACAGATGACGTAACTAGAGCATCTCAGAGAGGCCTCAGAAGCTTATACAGGCAACTGAACCAATCTCTAGGTGACATAGCCACTACAATCAAGCTTAAAAGATGTGAGTGCCCTTTAATCTACTGAGCAGTGGCAACTGTGCATGAGCATACTCTTCAGCTGTGGGAAACATGAGGTAGTGGAACTGAATGAAGAAATTAAGGATGAAATGGAGCTACACTTTTGGTGCAAACTACATTGTATCGTGTCATTTCATGTTTGCCACAGGTCTAAGAAATGCATACAAGCAAATGGTATGCTGACAGATATGCTTTCACTTGGTATGTTACAAACAAGCAATATTTTGGCTTCTACTCTTGCAGATCTTAGAAGTTCTATTGATAGACACCATTTGTATGTGTTTCAACATCCCTTTTTAGTATGAGTTTTAAATACTTGTATATTGCAAATATTAATTTGATGCACTGTACCCCCTAAATTATTGACTTAATCTTTATGTTCATCTTGCAGAGACAAAGTATTAGAATGGCATAAAATATGGCCCAGTTCTACTATAAAAGAAGCGTCAATGCTCCCTACAGAGATCGTATCCCTCTTCGCATCGTACGGGCAGAGTCTGAACTGTCTCATTCAGAAAAAGCCTATCTGAATGCCGTGGAGAAAGGAGACTATGCCAGTGTAAAGAAGGCTTTGGAGGAAGCAGAAATTTATTTCAAGATCAATATTAACTGCATTGATCCCCTGGGAAGAACTGCACTCCTTATTGCAATTGAAAATGAGAACCTTGAGCTCATTGAGCTGCTCTTAAGTTTTAATGTGTATGTGGGAGATGCTCTGTTGCACGCCATACGGAAGGAGGTAGTTGGTGCTGTGGAGCTGCTGTTAAACCACAAGAAGCCCAGTGGGGAGAAACAGGTACGTGCAGGATTTTCTCTGAGTTTGTGGTCTGCTCTAATGTAAAGAGAAGAATTGGGCCAAGGGAGTAAGCAAAAAGAAAAACAAAACCAACCATCATCCTTGCACACAAATATTTAAAATCAAAAAATCAGTTACGTTGATGCTGTATGCATTGTATTAATCTGTGTTTAGACATCATAGAATCACAAATTGTTTTGAGTCAGAAAAACCTTTAAAAATCATCTAGTTCCAACACCCTGACATGGGCAGGGACATCTTTCCCTAGGCAAGGTTGCTCAAAGCCACATCCAACCTGACCTTGAACACTTCCAGGGACAAGACATCCAGAACTTCTCCGGGCAACCTGATCCAGTGTCTCACTACCCTAACTGTAAAAAATGTCTTCCTTCTTCCCAGTCTAAACCTACCCTCTTTCAGTTTAAAACTGTTGCCTCTTTCCGTGTCATTACAGGCCTTGGTTAAAAGTCTCTCTTTGTCTTTCCCATAAGCCCCCTCTGTATAATGATAACATTATTCCTGCTGGAAAGTCTTTAATCATTCAAAGAAGCAAATAATTCCAAAAAGAATAGTAGTGGTAATATGTGGTCCATTTGAATTAATTATGAAACTCCCATAAAAGTCAATGAATGTTTCAACCCCTCCATGGGGAGGTCATCATCTCCCAACTCAGCAAGGCAACACTGGGAGGCATGACCGAATTGATCAGAACTTCAGCCCTGTCTTAAGTAGTCATCCATCCTATCAAGTACACCTAAAAAGGCACAAACTCCTCTCCCTTTCTCCTGTCTTCTCTCAAAGGAAAAAATCATTACATACAGGCTCATTCATAATGTGATACCTACTCTGCTTCCCCTTGCACTTCCTTGAGAGACATCTCCAGGAAGTAGTTAGCCTTCTCATTTTAAGAAAAGAGTGGAGACAGGATAACATAGCCCATTAATTCTGATATTCATTGGACTCTTCTAGGAAGAAAAACCTTAAAAGTAGTTATAATATTGTATTATATTTTCATCAATTTCAAATTTTATGTATTATTGATACTCTATAAATGTATTTCAGTGAATAGTATGTTGAATGATTACAGCCCTTTCACAGATAATGCATACAATATACTTTAATTACAGTATAATGTACTTGGTGTGGATATAATTGCAGATAATAGGTAAAAAGTATAATTTTTGCTGATAAACTAACACAAATTCTATGCTTTTTTATGGTAGGTCTTTGTACGATAGTATATGCCTGTCTTGTCTTCTAGACAGTAAAAGCAGAGCTCCTTTAAAATTACCAGAACCCAGAAGGATTAGCGCACAACCCCATGCCAAACCAGTCAAAACACCTGTCTCTCCATTCTCCAGCCTCTGTAGTGGAAGTTGCCATTTGCAGAGCAGAGTTCATGTCACTTAATGGTAGCCATCCAAAGATAGGTCTCATCTCTGATCTTGCTCCTTGGACTTCCCTTTGCAATGGAGAAAAATGGAGATCCCTGGAGAGCACCTCATGCTGGCTTTTTCAATTACTTGCTTTATGACGCATAAACCACTTTTTAGCTTTGCTAGAGAGAGTCTGCAAATTCACCTTAAAATAGCTGCCTAAATTTTAGACTGTTCTTCAGACTTTCAGGGCTACTTTTTCATGCGTGCCACAGCTACTGTATTGAAAATGCTTGAATACAAGTAGTAAAACTTGTTTTAGGTGAGCTTCATGCTATAGCAGTCAAAAGGTAGGATTACTTTTTGGGTGCATACTACAGTGTTAAATTAACCACAAACTGATTTGCTCCAGTCTAGAGGTTAGATCTCTGGGCTGAAGCTTAAGTTTGTTGTTTCAGTGCCAAATTCCGCTGCTGGCTTGTATGAATAGCTTTGCTCCTTCTGCTCTTTCTTGGTTTCCCTGGTTGCACTTGATGGGGGTCTTACTGTAAAGCAGGAACATTATTCACAAATTGTTTGAACAGAGATATCTCCTTTTGTGCCTGTAAAAGGCTAGGCTTGCCCATTGTCAATGCAAGCACTGCTTGCAAGCCAGTGCATGCAAAAATGGTCTTTAAACAAACAGGTTATTTACATGTGTATGGTGTTGTGTGCACTGGGGACCCCAACAACCACTAAGCTTCTATGGGTGTCATATGTATAGGTAGTCATATTGGTTCATTTTTAGGCCAATGGCATGCTGAAGAGAATGTAAATGTGAATGACATTTTTGCAGTAATTCCACAATGAATTTACTGTTACCAAAGGTACCTGCTGGCTGAAAAATCATTGCAATGGGCTAAAGATATAAAATCTGGACACAGAGAATTATAGACTTTTTTTTTTTCCCCCTGGAGAATCAAGTTCCTTTTGAAACTGTTTCAAACTACAACTTTTTTGATTACTATTATTTGTAAACATTTGCCGTATTGCTTAGATGATGATTCATTTTCAGACTCTTTGCTTCTTTGTATAAATCTGGTCATGTGCAGTAAAATCCTGGCCCCTTGAAGTTAGTGGAATTTTTGCCATCCATTCAGTGAGGTCAATATTTCACCCTTTCTGCTGTTTGTTGTTGTTGTTGTTGTTGTTGCTTTTCTCTTGATGAAAAGTTATTCCCAGAGGGGACAGATAAGAAAATAAAGAAAAATGCATGTGCTAAATACAACCAAGCACAAGAAACAGTTTAGGTTCCATAAACTGTTGGTGATAAAATTATTGAACATTAAACTAATTGAACTTATATTTTTAGTGATAAAATTTATGAATATTCAGATGCTGGAAAATGTGGGTTTCCCTTTCCCCATCCTCGACGTGGGGGAGCCCAGCTCTAGTTCCTTCTCCGCCTGAAGAACCATTTCCGACGTCTTGGTGGACGGGGAAAGGGGACTCCAGAAACAGGGTTTTTCAGGCCCCGAGCCTGGAGGGGAGAGGTGCCCTCCCCTCCCCCCAGCACCCACGTGGCTCCGTGGCAGGCACAGAGACAGCACACCGGCGTGGAGAGGAGGCAAGAGAGAGTTTATTGTTGGGAAGGGGTTTATAAGGCTTTTAGGAGGGTCAAAGGGGAACCAATCACGAGTTCAGGGTCACACAGAAAAAACCATCAGGTAAAGGGTAAACAGCCAATAGGAAGGGGTTAAACAAAGGACCAATGGGACACCTCAGGACACCTTTCCCAGGACATTCCTGCATGGGAGATAACAGTTGCTGTGGGGGGTGTTGGGAAGAAGAAACACGTGTTTGCAAAGGGACCACAAAGAGCCATTTTAAGACATGTTTAAACAAGTTTCTCATCAGGTATAGTGCTACAGGAAAAAATCTGATATGATTCACAAGTAAATGAATTAGCTCTCACTATATTTTTCTATTAATGAGGTAATATCCTACGTATGATACATGGCTAATTTCAGCTTCACCTTATACAATAATGTAGCTATATTTGTAAAATGAAATCATTTTTAATCATAGAATTTCTTATATAATTCAAGAGCACATTGACAATGTCAGAAAGCTAGAAGAAAATGTCTTCTTGTACCAACAGAAAGCTACAGTTCTTCAGGACTACTGAAATGTATCTTTTGAAAAAAATGATTTTTCTCCAAAATTTAATTCTTTAAACATGTAAATGTTGAAAAAGAAAAGGGGGGAAAATTTAAAAATGTGTTAATTCTGACCAAGAATCAATGCATATAGTTAAAATAATATGTTTTTGCATTTTTTTAGGTTTTCCAGCCAAAATCTCCAAATTAGGAGATGCCACTGAATCTTACTCTCTAACACTTTCTCCTCAAAACAACCCCAAACCAACAAAAAAAGAACCCCAAAACACCCTAACAGAACCCCAACAAAACCCAAATCTTGTTAAAGTTAAATCTAAACTCTCTAGTCTACTGACTACTCAGCTGTAGGGCTCTACGTAATGTCCGTACATGATCTGCTTTGCATTTCAAATACCACATGGATTATAGTGGTTTTAAGCTGATTATCAGTATATGGATACATCTGGTGCCACCTGGTGACTGCAGATGAGGCATATATGTTTACCAGCTTTGAATTGTCTTTGAACTCCTTCTGTTACTCAGTTTGTGAGTGAGGTTTTTGCGCTATACATTAATACAACTCAGGAAAAGGTTATTTTGTCACTTGCATTATAGTCATTATATTTTCTATGCTTTTTTATCTGTACCAGCTGCTAGAGCACATGTAAAAGAGAATAGCACAAATTAATGTGAATGAGTTGAGGAAACTTGTCCAAGTACTTTTAAATTACCATTCTGCAACACCATATGTCCTGAATTATCTGCCAAGTCACTTGTTGCTTACTCTGATGGATAGCTGAATGCCAAATTAAAAGGGGGGGAAAAAGTTATTCTTTTAAATTTAGTATCTGCAGAAAATGTTTTAATCTTACTATATTGCATGCAGCATCCACAGATGGGATGGGAGTTAGGCAGCATAAAAATAAGTAGAATACCTTTATGTAAATCATAATGTGCTCTACTGCTTAAGGAACCCAGGCATCGATCTCTAGCTGGGTGTTTGACCGTCTAGATATTCTTGTATTTTCAGGGAAAACTGAAGCAGAGGTGTAGCTAGCTGCCTTCTAACAATGCTGCAAATGAAATAAGTGAAGCTGAAGTCTCAGTTTCTAAACTTGAAGAGTTTAGCATTGTATTAACTGACAGACTAGATTTGGGGCTTGGAAATTGGCTGCAATGTTTACAGGCATTGCTTGACTAGCAAAAGCACATGGCAGTGCTTTTATGCATTCCTGTTCACTATTAGATGTCAATCTTGTGATACTTCTGGGTATTTTTAATGGGTGGACACCCTAGGGACAGCTTTCTGCAGAAGTTGGAAAAAACTACTGTGCTAATGCCAGACTGGCATTTGCAAATATAAGGGAATTTCTAGAGGATGGAGAACTTTGGGACAGGGAGGGATGTGATCATTGTGACATATCCCTGGTTCACTCCTTCTGTGGTGTGACTGTCAATTAATCTGAAAATATTGCTGGGCACAGAG